TTAGCCAGAGGTTTACGAGCGTGAAAGCCGACACGCAGCCACCCCGGCGCTCTGATTGGGATCAGGCGATGTCAGGCAGCAACACGGGCCTTCGGGATGGAGGTCACCCCGCGACCCGGTGACTCAAAGTTCAAACCTCCTTGACAGAGACGTCCGAAACTTTTCAGGAAAAAACTTTTAGTACCGCTTGAAACATTGGAACGAAACTAACATGTTGATTTGTTTTTAATATTGACTGCATGATGTGTTTTGGGCTTTTTTATGTGAAATGTGCTATAAAAATATAATCAATACATTTATTGATTAAGCTCTGCCAAAAAACAGTCAGCCAAATATTTTCTACTTTTCAAACTCGGAAATTTTCACTTTTCTTTCTAGAAAATTTCTCAGATTAATCGCAAAATTTCAGATTTTTTTAACGTAGATATTTGACTTTTCAAAGCTTGAAAATTTTGAGTTTTTAAAATTTATGTTCAAGTGTTTTTGGCATATATTTTCAAAATTTCAAAATTTCTGAGTTTAATCTCAAATTAAACTCAGACTAGACACCTTTTAGTTCTCAAACTCAGACATTTCCAGGCTTTCTTTTTAGGAAATTACAGAGATTGATCTCGAATTTTCAGAGATTTTTCAGGATATTTTCAACTTTTCAAACTTTCCGTGTCTTTTTTTGTTGTTGTTGTTGTTGTTGCTTCTTTTTTTGTTTTTTGTTGTGTATTTTTTTCTGAGATCAATCTCAACATTTAAAAAAAAATTTTAGCAGTCACTTTCTACTTTTTCAGAAATGTCCATGATTTAATTCTAGAAAATTTGAGATTAATCAAAATAAATAAATTCGTACAAATTTTTGACTTTTCAACAAAGAAAGCAAAATAATGATTTACTGTCATATCATCACAAACATACCATGTGGCATTTCCTTAACTCTCCTGAGACTTTAACTGGGACCATTCAATTTGGTAATGGATGAATACGTGGAAATGCATCATAAAGCAAATGTTGAATTTCCTAAATTCTGTTTTTCTTGGGTAATTGTGTCTAATTTTTATGCACTTGTTAAATCTTGGGAGTATTTCATATTAAAATAAATAAAACACAGAACAAATGATGATGTTTCAGCTTTTCCAGCACATTTCAGCACTATGTTGACTCACTTTAGATAAAGTTGAAGCTGCTGGATTATGTGTACCCTCCTAGTGAAGCTGAATCAACATCTTCTAACCAAACTCCACGCTGCTTTTCATCCTGCAGGCCTTTAGATTGAAGGCTTTCAGAGCTGCTTCACACCATGATAAGGCTTTCTGTTGTTCTTCTGCATGCATGTTATCAGAATCTGTTCCGGGAAGCCAGATAGCACTTCATATCACACTGGTCTTTCACATTTCTTCCAGCTCAAAAACAAACCAGAAGTAGCTTTTCAGGGGGGTGCATAGAAACCTTTTCTGTTTAGAAGCTGCAACTCATTTTGTTTTGCTCATAGCAACTCCCAACGAGCCTTTTAGAGCGTGCCGCACAGACGGGAACATAAACATCCCCTCCGACATGAATAAGTGCTTTGTGCAGTGGAATAAGCAGCTGAAATCTGCTTTTAGCAGAGTGAAACAAAGAAGTTGGAGAAAGGTGGGGGGTTGGTTGAGGTGTGTGTTGTTGTTTTTTCTGGGATTTAGAGCCATCAGACACTCTGTTTCTGCAATCTGGAGCACATTCCACGAATCCCGCTGAGTTTTGTTCCCCATAACCATCAGCGACATGGTGGACTGAATTCCTGCACTGTGGAGCAGCTCATCTAAACTGCAAAACACAAGATTTTAATAGGTATTTTTGGTCCAGTTCCTGATGCAAATACCTCAGCGCACCTGAAAAAAGACCAAACTGACTTACAGGTAACTTTTCGGCAAGAAACCAGAGCTTGTTTTAAATTAATAATTCATTAGTCCTGATGAATAAGAACTGATTCCATTTGCAAATTATTTCACTTATTGGAAAAATGTCCTGTTAGAAATTTAAGAATCTGCCAGTGAAACCAGGAAGGAATTATTTACTTAAATGGGATTTATTATGAAAAATAAAAATTTTAAATGGTTTTGTACCTATATTTTTTAAGTTACTGCCAGTTTTTGGGATTAAGTTGAGTTAAGTTGGCAGCTGATGTTTTTTGATGGATAGAAAATGAGCCGTTTCAAAAACCTCCCACAATGCAGCAACCCAAACTGAGCTCCAGCATGTTTGATCAGCTGGTTTTACTGCTGTACAATGGCTTCTGGAAAATGCACCTGTTTTGTTGTTGACTTAGCATCCAGAAACCATTTGCTGCATTCTTTGTTGGTTGTGCAGGAGGCTCCACTTCTGCTTTTCAAAGATGTGCGACTGTATAATTGCGCATCTGTTTGCAGGTATTTTTAATGTGGTATGCAAATGTTGAGTTGAGGGGCGTGGCCATAAGCAGCTGATTTGGATTTAAATAAAATAGTTCATTCTGAATTAAACATTTAAAACAAGCTCCTGTATCTTGCTGAGAGTTTACTTGTACTTTAGTTCTGTCTTATTTAAATGTACTAAGATATTTGCTCTGGAAATTGGACAACAAATAATTGGTAAATTTTGTATTTTTGCAGTATTTGAGGGTTCCTACACATACTGTATGGATTTAGCCTGTATGTAGGTGGAATAATGCAGATATTTACATTTCTTCCTCAGACTGTCTAACAGAGATCAAAGGTCAGCAGAGTGAAACATCTTTTCTAAATAACATCTCATCTTACAGAGCGAAGCTGTCATACTCTGTGGATTCCTGCTAGAGGTTTTCATTTTGTCTCAGGTAATCTCAAACATGTGTGTCTCCGCTGCACCGTGTTTGAGCAAAGTTTCGCTTGTTCCACATGTTCTGCTTTTATTTAGCCTCCTTGTTATGGTCTCTCTTATTAGGCTCACCTGGTCTCTGTTTGCTGATCGAGCCTCGTGTTGTTTTTATTCTGCCTGCAGTGCAGAAACACAAAATCTTACCAAGGATTTTTGGTCCAGTTTCTACTGCAAATGCAATTGTACACTTGAAATTAGACAGAGCTAACTTTTCAGTGAGATATGGGAGCTTGTTTAAAAATTTCTTAAATAGGAAATTTAATAATTTCTTATTGATTATTGGCAGTACAGTGTGAAATCGAACTGCAGCTGCTAAAAATGTAACAAACGTTGTAATTCTGGTTTCCAGTCAAACTGAGTCTGCTGGTGTGCAGACACCAGGTAATTCACGTAGAATCAAAACAAGTCAGATAAGACGAGTCCAGTCTTCTGGGTTTCTTTTTTGATGGATTTCCAAAGATGTCACAGTGGGAGGAGACAATTCCTGTCCTGGGAAACTGCTGCTGAGGTAGAGAGGGAGCCTGGGTTTCCTTCCTGAACCTGTTACCCCCGTCACATCATATCACACAGGCAGAAAGCAAATACTGAATGGATACTGTCGCGCACATTTAGATGAGAGGCCTCAAAGTCTGCAACAAAACCCTGAAATACTAAATCTCAAGATGTTTTATCCATCATTTATTGATAAAAGGTGAAATCCTGCAGCCTGGAGAGGAATGTACTGAAGTAAGAGTAGCGCTACTGACACTTATTTTTACTCAAGCAAAAGTAAAAATTAGCCGCCCAAAAAGTTACTCAGGGAAGAGTAAAAATGTCATTTAATATTTAAATGGTACTTTATCAGACAGACAACAATATGAAGAATACATTTTTGGTATTTTAAGGACCAAAATGATGATAATTCATATAAGTAAGAAAAAATAACAAAATTAGGCAAAATATTTTTTTTCCAAATCAATTTCTTTCAATGAAAACCTTATAAAACTTTAACAAAACTGTGTCTGGTGAGTTTTTGGTTAAAACATGTATTTTTCTTGTAGCTGAAGTCATGCATGTTGCAGCATGTCAGAAATTTGTCAATCTGTAGAAAAATCATGATGAGAACAAAAGCTGGAGTCAGATCGTTGTTTGAACGGGAGCTTATGTAAGAGAGACTGAGAGGATCCACTGACGGAGGTAATTAGTTTCATCTCAGCACAATAAAACGATAGCATCTTTTCCCACAGGTAGTTCGGAGCGGCAGCGGAAAGGGAAATGCACGTAATTTTGCGATAGGACAAGAACTCCCTGCAGTTTTCTGCACATCATGTTTTTTTCCTTCAGAGGTTGTGGAGCTGTAATCACTTCGATGGGATGGGATGGGTCTGATCTGTAATTAATTCATGTGGAAATGAGCGGAGTCATTTCCTCTGAATCAGGACGAGGGGTAATGGGTCACTCAGGGACCTTCATTGGGGCCCAGCTACGTGGCTCGGTGACCCGGCCGTGAGGTCAGGCTGCCATTAGGCTCAATGTAGGTCAGACGTGGATGAGCTGTAATCACTTCGCTCGTTCTCATCTCCTTCTGACATTTTCTGCTTTTTTTTCTGTAAGAGATGAACTCTGTGAACTCGCGGCGCGATGAATTAAAGAAAATATAGATGCAGCCGATGCTTTAAATGACAGGAATAAATTCAATAAGTAAATTCTCTGTCAGAGAATTTGAGGTATTTTTTATGTTTGTTTAGCTGCACTTTTACTGAGTGTTCGACAGAGTTGGGTAGTAACTACTGTAGTTATATTAACTCAATTACATTTACCTTTTGAAAAAAACTATACATTTAGGAATATTTTTACTACGCTGTACTTTTCACTTGAGTGATTTTATTGTGAAGTATTTCTACTCTTAGTTTCTACCTGCTGAATGAAGAACAAACATGCTTGGTCCAGAAATTCACCAGACTCAGACAAAAAACTGCAGTTTTAGATTTATTATTGAAAGAAAAATTTTATATTTGCCAGATTTTGTTGTTTTTTTGTTTTGTTTTGGACCGATACTTTTTAGTTTTACTTCAGTGATAAAGCGTTAAAGTAGAGCTATTCTTACTTGAGTGACACATGTAGCCATGAACTAACCGGACCGAACCTCTTGGTCGTTCCAGGCCTCTGAGAAGTCCCCGGACCTGAAGAAGAGGGGGAAGGCTCCTCACCCTCAGGGTTCGGTGAAGGAGGCGAGTCCGTCCACCAACACTTCCAGCACATGGAACCGGCCACGCTGTGGCGTACCGGACTTCCCCAACCAGAAGGAGCTGCAGTACCGAGGTCGACACCGCCAGAGACGCTTCGTTCTGCATGGAGGACGTTTTGACAAGAAGGATCTCACCTACAAGTATGGAAATAAGATTGTTTTATGATGATTAAACGGTCGTTCTTTTAACAAATCCACACACAGTTGGGATCAAATATGAACCACCTCTAGCAGGAGCAGCTCTTAGCTGCTATTTTCTGTCAGACTTTATCCGTCTGACATTATTGTGCTTCTGCTCAGATCTCTTAAAGGGGACCTATCAGGCAAAATTCACATTTTTTGTTTTCTACTGTTTCTAAAAACAATCGAAGTGCTTAAAAAAAGCTGAAAACGAGCCATTTCAAAAACCTTCTGAATGTAACGTCACAAATCTGTGATTCTATCTGTTAGCTGGCAACCCCAGTGAAGCCCGGCTCATTACCCAGCAACCCAATCTGAGTTGCAGCACATTAAGTTAGCTGGTTTTAATGCTGCATGCGCTGTACAATGGCTGCTGGAAACGACAAAAGTGCTTTGTTGTTGACAAATCATTCAGAAACCATTTGCTGCATTCTTGTCGATTGGGCAGGAGGCTCCTCTAATGCTTTTCTATATACTCCTGTTAACAATTAATTGATTGCTGAAATAGTTGATGATTGTTTCAGTAATCAGTTAATGATGATTGATCTGATTAATCGCTTCAGCCCTAGATGGTTTCCCTGCAGCAAAGGATAAGCAGCTATTTTTCCTTGCGTTGCAGTGAACATGTGCAGTTTTGCTCTAACCTGTGGAATCTGAGTAAAACCTGCAGCCTGCAGAACGTGCAGCAGCTCTGATGTCTGCATGTTTCCAGCTGCAGTCAGCAGATGTTTCCGCGACGAAGAAAAAAAATCCTAATTTGGATCGTTCTCTGAGGGCCAAACAGCAGATAGACGGAGCCAAACAGGAGCCGCTGCGGATCAAAAACGCAGCGCGAGCGACTCCAGGAACGCCATGAAAGATGAGAAAGCAGATAGAGCAATCTGAAAATGAAGTCATGGACTTATGATTTCCACAAAGAGGTGCTGCTTTTCTTTCATCTGGGGCCGTGGCTCCATCGAGAGCTGGTCGGCGTCTGCCGGCTGCTGCCTCTCTGTCTGCGTCTCCCGGGGTCCCTTTCATTGTACTCGTTCTTTAGCATAACAGCATATTAAGGCACGTCGAAAGAAAGCAGCACGGGGGAGGCAGAACCGGCCGCAGACTAATTAGATTCCCCTGGATTGGGTCGATATAAGCGACACCTGAGTGATGTGGTTAACTGTAGGCATGGCAGCGACCCACCAGGTCAAACTGCACCCCACCTACTGCAGGCGTCTCACGCCAAAAGCCGTGCTTTTTACCTCCCGTGTTTAGTTTTATTTCAAATCGGCCACTAATTTGAGCTTTTGGAAGAAGTTCCTGCGTAAAGCATGAAGTGGAGGATGGATGTTTTTGTTTTTGCTGCTTTAAAACAAGCAGTGAAGGATCACAGTGTGATCTCCTCCTCTGGACTCGGACGAGATCACAAGCTGCTCAAAGTATGGAGCTTTAAGGAGAGGGAGTTAGATCCCGAAACACAACGTCAACTCAAAATTAAGGCCCAGCTGCATAAAAAAGTCACGACACAGAAAACAACACAATGACTGCCACTTTTTAACAGAAGAAAATCTGACATTTATATCATCTAAAAAACAATAAAAAGTCCAAATAAATGTGAGAACCGATGTTCCTTGTTTATGTTTTGCTTTTATTCTGAAGGTTTTAGTCACACCAATAAATTTAACTCTTCTCAACTGAAAAGCTAAATTTTTTATTTTTGTCTCCTTTTTTCTCTTCTCTTTGAATCCAAACTCAGTTTCAGCCTAAAATCGTCTTTCAAGTCGCATTTTTACCAGAAATAGTGAGAAGATTGAAAAGAGAAATCTGCAAGAGGAAGAAAACAAGCTGCAAAAAAGAAAACATTCAATATATAAATTAGAAAATTATTGAGAACCCCATTTATTTTAGTATCAAAGTCTTAAGGCTACACTAATAAAATGCAACTTATAAAATGAGATCAATAAAGTCATAATAATGTAAAAATAAAATCACAATTTCTTTGAGAATAAAGTTGAAATAGAATACGAGAATGAAATGTTGCAGTAGTTGGCATATTAAGATTTGATTCTTGAAATATTTTCACTTTATTATGAAATTACTAGGACCATTTTTGCATTATTTTGAATTTATTCTCGTTATTTTATTTTTCTTAGTATGACCTTAATACTCAATCGCTAAAATACAATGTTTAAAATTAAAATACAACATCAGACTCATAAAAAAATATTTTTAAAAACAGAAATATGGTTTTATAGTGTTTTTCCACTCATCACTGAGAAGAGTTTAAATTTGTTTTTGATAGAAATAGAAATAAAAAGCTATAAATAATTGTTTTTTCAAACCTGACTCAATTTTCATCTGGTTTTATTGTGTTTTGGTTTCATTTCCTGTATGAATTAAACTTCAAAAATCATTTAAATCTGGATCTGAAAGGGTCTGAATCATTTTTAGCTTATCTTCTTCAACTTCTTGTCAAGCCTAAATTTATTTCTCAACAGAAATATGAATAAATTATGTAAAAACCTGTTGAGACATCATATCAAAACTAGTTAATTTATGCATTATTTCTCTGTCTCCCACATCGAGCTGGAAGGAGAAACGAAACAATTCACCTCTAAGTATTACAAAACAACAAAGTTTGTCTTGTTTGTTTACATTCTTTTGTTTCCACGCAACAGAAAAATTACAGATTGATGTCCTGGAGCAAAATTACATGCTGGAACCACTTCGTGCAATCGGTCAATTGTGCCAGCTTTTATTTCACTGCTGCAGAAAAGCTGCAATTAATGCGAGCAGAACAAGTTCAAACTTCTCCAACATTAATGCAGGAGCCTCAGAAAGGGCAAAATGTTCCTTTAATTTCCTGCTCTGCAGCTCACAGGTTTAAAAACAAAAACTAATTTAAACTCTTCTCAGTAAGTAAAATGAATAGTTTTCAGGTTTTATTACTTTGATTTATATAAAAAACATAAAATTTACAGTTTTCAGCCACCTGTATTATTTGCAGGGTTTCTATCGATGCTTGAAATCCTGAAATTTCTGTTCAATGTCTTCAAGGTTTGGAAAGTGCTTGATTTCTGTACAAAAAACCTTGAAAGTGCTTAATATTTAAACAGTTTTGTAACAAAGTGTAACAGAATGTTTGATTAATATTTGATTAAAAGACTATTTACAATTGAAACTTAATAAAAAGATGTTTTATCCCACTGTCAGTGAAGTTGTTTTATACACACTAATTGGCAAATCTCTCTGTGTGGTTTTTAGCAGTAAGAGCCCAACGCCATCTCGAGATATGGAGGCTGGCGGTCCCTCATCGCCGCCGCCTCACTTCCTGTGTTTGTATGTTGACTCCTGCGCTGCTTTCCTGCAGGATCGAACGCTTCCCCTGGCAGATGGACGAGGAGAGGGTGCGGCGTGTGATCCGGGAGGCGGTGAAGATCTGGAGCGACGTCACACCGCTCACTTTCACCGAGGTCCGCAGAGGGATTGCCGACATCCGGATCGACTTTTCCAGGTGAAAACCCAAATAAGAAGCGGTTTGTAAACAATTTAAATCATGTTTCGGTTCATCTGAAGTGTAATTTGAAGGGATTTTCTTAGAGGTTTCTTTTTTGGGGGGAAAAGAGCCACCAAAATAAAAATAGTTCTTAATTAATTTTTTCTTAAAAGTCAGAATTGTTCAAAAAAGTCAGATTTGTGCGGGAGGGGGCAGGCGGGTGGAATTTCATTTTGAGATTAAAAACCAAATGAAATTTAAAAAAACTTTTTAAATTCTGAAAAACAATCTGAATTGTGATGAAAAAATGAGAATTCTGAGATTAAAGTCAAAATTTCAAGAAAAGCAGTCGAAATTCTGAGAGATAATAGAATTTTCGGAAATAATGAGAATTCTGAGAAAATTTAGAATTCTGATAAAAAAATAGAATTCTTAGAGAAACCGTCTAAATTCTAAACAAAACAATTCTGAGACTAAAGTCAAACTTCAGAGAAAAACTGATTATCATGAGATTAACGTTAAAGTAATACAAGAATAACATATTATTTTGAAAGTGAAATCATTTACATGGCAATATGACTCTATCTTCATAATAAAACAACTTTATTCTCATATTATTTTATTCTCATTCGAGTTTATTCTCATAATTATTATTTGAGCCACATATGTGGAACCAAATGAGATACGTATCACATATTTTTTCACAATACCTGCAGTTTGAACAGTCATGATGTAATAAAACTGACATTGACATCATTGACGTGAGACGTGTGTATGGAGCTAAATTGGAGCCGAAACGTTTGTCTAAAAGATTTTTAAAAAATGAAACTGAAAGAGAAATTTGAAATTGAGAAACAGATTTAAAATGTATTTTTAACTTTTTTTAGTGTCATATTTTATTTCACCTTCAGATCCATTTTAGTTTAAATTTTCTTTCCAGTTCCAAATCTAATTTTCAGTTTCAAATATCTTATGTGAAGTTACAATTTTATTTTCTTTTGAACAAACTTTATGGCACCAATTTATCTCCGTACGGCTTCAGCAGAGACGGACCAAGCTTTGTTTTTTTAGTTTTGATCCAGTTCAGATGAGCTTATGCACAGGGAATCCTCTGAGCTCAGAGTTTTCATTTGCTTTTTAACCCCTGTGACCTCTCAACTGGAGAGAACTGCTCCCCCTGCTGGTGTCTCGTTAAACTACATCATTCATTACTTCTTTGCTGCAGAGATTTTATGGTGCTTCCTCAGAAAATCACTTCTGAACTCTGTGTGACGAGGAGACCAATTGATCTGCTTTAGTAAATTATGCAACAATGAAAGAGAGACAACCAATAACATTTTCTATGTTGTTGAAAAAATGTCTCAGCTATTAAGAATGAGCCTGATTGATGTCCTGGATAAAAATCAGGATCGTTTCAATAAAACTAGCAGAACATTTAGACAGATAGGATCAGATTCTGGCACAAAGCGATTTGCAGAGCTGTGAAGATGAACACGGAGATAACGGAGCAAGAGACGACAAGCAGGCTCCACTGCGCTGATACTCCTGCTTTATGGATGATCCGTATCTGCTGACTCTGGGTTTTTCATTCTTTTATCGTTTCTGTGTTTCCCCTCTGAATCATTTAGTTAAAGCATCTCATAACGTCCCAGTATTGTTTATACGGAAATATTTTTGTCTTTAGTTCATTTTATTTATTTTTACAACTTTATCATCCCCTGTATACTGAACTTTGTTGTGTATTTTAAAGCATTCATGTTACTTTTTTTCACTTTTTGAGAGAGTTTAGATGTTTTGTTGTTTTAAAAAAGGGAGGTTTTGTTTCTGATGGGGACGCTTGTTTTATTCACCTGCAGCTACTGGCATGGAGACAACCTCCCGTTTGACGGCCCAGGCGGGATTCTAGCTCACGCTTTCTTCCCGAAAACGCATCGGCAGGGCGACATTCACTTCGACTACGACGAGTCCTGGACTCTGGGGAACTACATGGGTAAGTTTCTGGATCACTTTAGTTTATTTCGATAAACTGATCAAACATGAGAAAAACTTTACTAAACGTTAACAATTTGCATCCAAAATGCATCAAAAATACTCTCAGATTTGAGCTTGATTTATTAATAATTGTCCAAACTGGGCTTCTATTTATAAAAGTCACTTAATGAATGTCTTGTAAATTCCTTATTCTGTTTGATATTGTTGGTTGAGTTGATGCTCCCTAAAAAAAAAAACTTCAACAAATAAAACCCTTTTATTCTAGCATTTGGTTCACATTCGACTCCACATTACTTTGGTACTCTGAGTTTATAGTCCATTCAATAGTATCTGGCTACATAACAGATATGTACAGATAATCATCTGCAAATAAACGGTTATAAACAAACTCAACACGGGGCTCAAACAACCAACCCTGAGGTACACCATCACTCCTCTGAGCCATTCAGGATGGATGATGTTACTGCAGAAGCAGCTTTTAATCTGTCTCAGCTCTTTTAGTATATATCACCTACTTGACTCTGTCTAAACACAAGCATAGGATGTAAGTCAGCAGTTGAAGGGACTTTTTTCCCTCTTGTTTGACCCAGTTGGCTCAGATATTGAAGTCCCCACATTCTGCTGCTCAAACCAAACAAAACAAACTTATTTTCTAACCTCGTATGAACCTCTCCCTTCCTCTTTGCAGGTACAGACCTTCTGCAGGTCGCCGCCCATGAGTTCGGGCACGTCCTGGGCCTGCAGCACTCGCGTAAGCCCAAAACCGTCATGTCCGCGTACTACTCCTTCTCCTACCCACTGAGGCTGAGCGAAGACGACAAGCTGGGCATCCAGTACCTGTACGGAGCTAAACCACAGGTCCTGCCCCCACCGCCAACCCCGGCTCCAAGGGCTCTGGTCCCCAAAACAGAGACCAACGAACTTAATGTGAGTTAACCAATTCAGTCGTACAGCCAGCCGTATTAATGTGCGACTCAGATTCATTTAAAATTCACTTGTATAGCTATGTTTTTAAACAGAACCTCATATGTGAAGTCCATATTTTTGTGTTTTCATTTGGGTTTCCACTGAAAACGGGCCAAGCAATTAAAAGACACACCCAGTCGATTCTTGTCAAACAGAGCTAATGTTTTTTCTGGTGTGTGGAGAATTACCCGTTTCAAAAATCTCTGGAACGTAACGGACCGGGCTTGACTAGCAACCCGGTCAAGCCCAAGCTGAGCTCCAGAATGTTTTATTATTTTCGCTCATATCATCAAGTTAAAATAGTTACGTATTTCAAAAGTGAAAATAATTTGAACTTACGTGAATAATTATGCATTTTATGAAACACGTTTTATTACACCGATTTCTGCTCAAAAACATTTACTTTGAACAGAATAAGCACTCTGAGAGGACACTGTGCTCAATCATTGCTAATTAACAGTTGCACTAAATTAATGTTGGCCTTAATTACACATAACAACCAGTTCAATACAATAGTTCCAGCTCTTTGAGTACACTGGAAAGTATTTCCCACTCCTTTTTCTTTTTTTCTGTCTATTTTTACTTTGAGATTTTTTTTTACTTTCATTCGCGTCTTTCTGGGGAAATTTTTCAGCAACCATTCCTACCTGTTTTGGATGCTGCAATGAATTTTGCCAACACATTTCACACGTTGCTCTTTGATGCATAACCACAGCAACAGGGTGGATTACCACTGGGAGGAGCCAATTAGCATCATTTATTTTTCCTTTGGGATCAATTAAGTACTTTTTAGTTCTTTTAGGGATTTAAAATCCTTTGTTTTCTCAGAAATGTGACAAAATTAACAAAGAATTAACACAACTTAAAGTTTCCATTTCCAAACTCACATATTTGAGTTGAAAATCTAAAACTTGCAAGACTTATAAGGCGTAAGGAGGAGTATCTAGCTGACACAACTAAATGTGGTGAAAATGTTTTGCGGTGTTTTTGAGAGCGTCCTCTGTTTTGCCTCCAGCCTGACGCCTGTCAGACGGACTTTGACGCCGTGTCGATGATCCGAGGGGAGCTGTTCTTCTTTAAGTCAGGCTACGTTTGGAGGATCAGGGATCCTGGAGGATCGGCGCGTCTGGAGAGCGGGTATCCGGCGCTGGCCTCCCGACACTGGAAAGGGATCCCGACGAAGATCGACGCCGCCTTTGAGGACAAGTCAGGGAACATTTGGTTCTTTCAAGGTGAGTATTTAATAAAGTCAAAAATAATCTCACTTCTTCCTCTTCGGCCAACCAGGCAAACGCAAAATTGTTGTTTGGACGCCGTGCAGATTAAAAATAGCCAAATTTAAAAGACATTCTGACGTATAACTTGCACACACAAGTAAAATTGTTGTGCTTATTAAAAGGTTTCTGACTTTTTATTCAGCTGAGATTGGGCTTTTGCGACTTGTGCTACTAAAATTTGGAACGGTTTATCTTTTCATGTACGTAACGCTGAGACTGTTGAGACTTTTATTCTCTGGCATTTGATTCAAACAGTTTGAGTTTCTTTTATTATGACAGTTATGGGGTATATTCGTATTACTTTTCAATATATTTCTCTGTTCTGATTGTTATCTTGCTTGACTTTATTGAATTGTGCATCACTTTAGTCAAGCTCTGTTGTTTTTATGTGCTATCCAGATAAACTGACATTGTTTTTCAGGGAAAAGTCATAAAACTTAAGCTCTGATTGTGTAAAAACTGTAATGTCTCAAAATTCCAATTTAGTCTATTGTTTATAATATGAATGTTTTTTTACTGTGAAGCATGACTGAGTTTTAACTCTCAAAATTTAGCCTAATTTTCTTTGCTGTTATTGCAATCTTCAGGGATATAAAGTTCATTTTTAGTGCCGTTAATCAAGCATTAGCATGCTAACAGTTGTAAAAAGAAAAAAGTGAATAAAAGTTGGATTTCAGTGGGTTTCTTTTTATTTCTGCAGATGATAACTACTGGGTGTTTGACGCTGAGATGCACATCAGGGGCCCCGAGTCCATCAGGAGTTTAGGATTGTCCACATCCAGCATCCAGGCTGCCCTTCGCTGGGGTCACGACCCCAACTACAACATCTACTTCTTCAAGTCCGGTAGCTACTGGAGGTTCAGTCCCCGTGAGAACCGGGTCGAGTCGCCCCAACCGCGCAGCATGCAGTACTGGACCGGCATCCCCGAGGATGTTGACGCTGCCTTCAGGGACACCCACGGTACGAAGGAAAAAATGCTTTTGATTTCTGTCTTGAACTGTGGATGGCACTGGAGTCAAACTTTATTTCTCAGGACTAGTTTTAAACTTCACTTTCTGACCAGCAGCTTGCCTCAGTTTGTTTCCATTTCTCTGCTGGACATTTTGTTCCTGTGCAGATTTGGGCAAATATTTTGGATTTATATCCCATTGCAAGACCGAAAGAAATCACAAGTTTTGTGAAAAAGTTTTGGTATTTCAGAGAGTTTGTGCACTCTTACAAGCTCAGCATTACAAAAAGTCTCTTTCTTTGAAAGTCATTGGCAAATTGAAAACAGCTCCTTTCGTAGTTCAGTACAGGTCTGTTTGAGTCCTTCAATCTGACATTTCTCTGTCTCCAGGAATAACAAAACAATCTTCTTTTTGTTCCTTTCTCCAGGCTTTGCTCATTTTATCCGAGGACGTCAGTACTGGAAGTTCGATCCTGTCGGCATGAACTCGTTGGAAGGTTACCCCCGTTACGTCGGCATGGATTTCTTTGGGTGCAGGAACGAGTGAGTCTGTGAAGATTCGCCAACCCTGATTCCTTTGACGCGAAGAGAAGTTAATGGAATAAAAACTGCAGACTCATGGGGACGAGATGATTTTTACACCTGTTTATGCTTCACTGCATTTATTGACACTCAGATCAATTTATGCCTTCTTCTCAGGAAAAAAACCCCACCTTCCCTCAGATCTGGCACCTCCTGTGCAGCTCTACTCGTATTTATTTTTGCACATTTTTGTGTCACCATGAGCCCAAGACCCTGGATTCAGTCTCGCCTGAGCCAGAAACTGTTTAATGAACTGTTGTTCTCTGTGTGGTCAGTGTTGGATGTTTCAGTTTGTGTTTTCATCAACAACGCACCTCAGAGTGTTTGAAGAGTGACATCAGACTCATAGCGGCGGTCAGTGAAGGGTTTAACTCTAGGAGTCAGTCAGCAAGTAGATGCAGAGTCGTTTCCAGTCAGATTTCACTGTTTTTCAATCAGAACCAAGAAAATGGGCTTTATACTAGATTTGGACGCCTTAAAAATGAGTCACAGCAAGAAGGTTTTGTAAGGTCCTGCTATGTTCTTTGCAGAGTCTTATTGAGATCTTTGTCAGATTTTGTTGATGTCTCTGAAGGGTCATTTATGATCTGTGCAGTGTTGCAAAGGCCTTTGCAGAGTCTTGACGTCAACTGTGCAATGTTGAGGTCATTGCACGGTTATTGAAAGTTTGCAGTCTGCAACAAGCTATCTGAAGTTTGACTCCAGCTAGCTTGAGTCTAAAATTTAGCATCAGTTCTAAACCAGGCTCCAGTTTATTTTTTTCAGTTAGTTATTCTTTGATTTAATTAGCTAAGTTGCTTTAACGGTTGACATTTTCATCCAGGTTTAAGCAAAGCATCTAAAACATTACCATTTCAATTTTATTCTCGGATGCTGTTTTAGTTTTTTCCTGCCTGATATCAAAACATCCCAGAGAAAAGCAGACGGTTACTTCAGGTCTAACCATGGAGCCGTTGCACCTCTGATTTCTATGTTTTCACGGGAACTCTGTGTGGCTTTGCTTGGACCGCCTCAACTGATTTTCACCTCTCTCTGTAGAAGTTCCTATGTTCTGTTGTTGTGATTCATGGTTTCCAAAAACAGGAAAACAGATCAAGTTGCATTTAATCAACTCCTGAGGTTCGGTGTTTCCCCTTCAAGACACAAATATGCAAAAAATCTGGTCCTGGATGCAAAAACCAGAGTAAATATTTATTTCTCTAAGGGTTTGTTACACTTTTCTTACATCTTTGCTGATTGAGAAACAGGCATTTGATTCATTTTTCAAGTTTGGATGTGAATTGAACAACAGAGGAGTGACTTTGTTTGGTTTTACCACAGTTCCTCATCTAGTTATCTTCCTATTTGAACTGGAATTTTTTTCTCTTTTAAATTTAAAATGAGAAGAAAAGTTGATTCTGCTGCAGCTGCTTGTGTCTGATTTCACTCTTCTCACTTCATGGTCGCAGAAGAAGCTGCAGTGCGCCATCTCGGCGCCGGAACGGAGCCTGATGACGTCACTGCACATCGATCAAATGGTGCTCTGTGTTTTCTGTTAGTCAGTGATGCGTTCAGGGACCGCAGCGGTTCTCCACCACTGGGCGAATTAGTGGTAAACTTGTTCTGGTAAACTGAAAATGAAAAACATGTAAAAACTTAAAATTTTAAAATAATATTCTCCTGAATCCAACTGGAGAAATTCAGATTTTAACATTATTTTGAAAGTCAGAATGAATTTTCTTTTAACTGTTAGCTGTTTATTTTTCCTGTGTAAAATATTGAGACGTTTACTTTTAATTTACTATTGTAGCCTCAGGTTTTCTTCATTGGTAAAAAAAAATCACTTAATCGGGTTTTACATTTTATTTTATGGTTCTCAAAATAAAAGCAGCAAATGTTTGATTGACTAAGAAGAAAAGTTTATTTGAAATTTGTTATTTTAACTTTTCAGTCCCTGCAGAGGTCATCCCTGCTCTAATCACAGTGGTGATAAGTTTACTGAGTGGCAGAAAGACAATCAATTTTGGGAAAATGTTAATAGTTACAAAAGAAAGCAAAAAAAAATCGCTGGATAAATTTTTTATAAAAGCCAATGTTTGTATGAATTAATTTGCTTACATGTTTCTACTCAAGTTATTTTTTTATGACGAAGTCACATTATGTTTTAGACTCAAACGTTCAGCATTGTGACTCCATCCATGCAGCATCCTATGATCTATATAGGGACAAAATTAGTATTTTATCAATAATTGAATCTCTTAGTAGTTTTTTTTTTTATGAATTTATCTGAATTCAGGCACAGGAGTAAAAAAGCAGTCCTTGAGCTTTACATCAAGCTATAATGTTATTTGCTGACCAGAAACAAACCTGGACTGTTGCCTTCATTCTTTCATGCATGTTTGTGAAATCCTTTAAAACACTTGGGTGAACATAGCCACGCCTTTGAGGTGCAGCTCCTCCTCAGAGCTGCGGTTTCCAAGTTTTCAAGCGTCTGCCTCAACCCAGCTCCTTCAGACTAGCCACCAGCAATTAGCAAATTATTAGCTGAGCTCATTAAAGGAGCTGCTTCTCGGTGAAACGCTGGTTGATAAAGGGTTAATAGAGGAGCCATGTTGTGATCAGAAAGAGCAGGAGTTTCTTAAAAAGACAGAGACCCAATTTCAAGATGCTAAATTACTAAATCAAATCTCTTTTAAGTCATATTTGATATAATTTGCATTTTTATAACAACTGTAACATAGTTACTTGATTATGTCATAAAATGGCCGAAAAATATGTAATACTTCTTTAAAGACTTAAAAAGTTTCAGGGAAAGTCAGGCTTGAAGGAAAATACGAGGAAAACTCAGCTGGATTAAAACTTTTGCACAGATTGCTGAACTCCTGGTGAATAATCTCGGATTGCAGCCTTTTTGGAGAACCGCTGCTCCTCAGCTTTGCATCTTTTCTTGCTGCAGCACTTGAACTTTGAAGTTTCGGCCCAGACCGTTGTGTTCATCGTCGTTCTCCTCAGTGCAGGACGCTGACGAGTCGTTTCTGTTTTTATCGTTCAGACTTTGCTGTTTTCCTCACAATCTGCTGTGTTTGACTCAGTTGATCTCATTTATCAGACTTATTCCAACATGTTTATGCACAAACAGCAAAGCTTTTTGTACATACATGTTTAAATTCTGTATATTTAACCAAATGTAGGCTATAACCTGTAAAAATGTAGGAACTATGTATGTTTTTCCTGTTTTGTTTTTTATTACTTTGAATAAATCTTTTACCTTTTGTCTAACAACAGATCTGAAAGTTGTTTTTTCTCTAAAGGTTAAACACTTTAATGATAAAATCTCCAATCTTTAATGAAAGAAAAAGTATTTTAAAGACTGAATCTGAATAATTTTTCTGTCACAGTTTATAAAAAATAAAACCCTGTAAATATCAACACTCTTTAATGCATTAGTCACAATTAGTCAATGACCACTATTGTCAGATAAAAAACAATGATTTCCACTGAATTCAGAATAAATGGTTTAATAAAAAATATACAGCAAAACAGCTGTTGTATTCAAATATTCTTAATAATGACACCTAAATCTGAGGTTTCTTTTAAAATGTTGTAATTTGTCTTAAATATTCATCATATAAATATCACATCAATAAATATAAATAATTGTTTTATCATGAATATTATTTAAGGTAAAACTCAGAAATGAAAAAAGTTTTTTTTTAAAAGTGAATTATTTCTAGATTTAACACAAACTGAATTATCAGATTGTTAATTTACTATAATTTATTTAGTTTCTAAATTAATGAATTTGCTATTTTAATTAAAAAAAGAATAAAGCATTAATGATTTAATTCATTTCTTTCTAAAATAATTGATGTTGTTAATGATGAGATAAATGTTTGTACTTATATTTAGGACTAACTTCACTGCAAAAACACTAAATTATTAAAATCCCATTTTTGGGGGGTTTAGTTTCAAGTGCAAATATTTTAGTACATTTAAATGAAAGAAACTAAACAAAAATAACTTTTCAGAAAGATATATTATTAAGTCAATAATATTTAAGTTCTTAATATTGATTAAAATTACTTGTTCTATTGACAGATTATTTCAAATGTCCAGTTACAAGTGAAATAATCTTTTTTTTCATCACTACTCAATAATTATGACTCTATTATTCTAACCAAGAAACATACCAAGATAATTTCACTATAAACTAGACCAAAAGTACTGGGTAAGATCTGGTGGGGGGGGTTTGTTGTTTTTTATTTGTTTGTAGTTTTTGCAGAGTTTGGGTGAATCTGATTGGCTGTTGCTGTGAAGTGGGCGTGGCCTGTTGCCTGTGTGCAGATTAAATGAAGCCTCAGACATGCAGCAGCAGCAGCAGCGATGGCTCCCAGCCTCACTCAGGCGTATTTCCAGATCCCTCTGGTGACCCGGACGTACACGACCGCCTGCGTCCTCACCACCGCTGCCGTGGTAAGAAACACCAGAACCAGAGCAGAACAGAACCAGCACATTTTAACTCCTGTTGTTCTGAGAGAAAGTACTCTGTTCTCAGGGAGAATCAAACTGTTTTTATTGATTAAAGTGTTTGTAGTGTGTTGTTAGCTTAAACTGGGATCCAGGTCCTGAAATGTGTCATTTTGACTCTAAATGATGAAAGAACCAAAGCCAAACCTGCAGATTTCTTTCCAGCAACTTCAAGTCATCTCCCCGTTTCAGCTGTACTTCAACCCAGAACTCATCATCAGTCGATACCAGGTACAAAGAAAAGCCTCTAAATACTGTAAGAGCAAAGTAATTTATCGTCTTCATCACCGTTTCCTCATTTGTTTTCCAGATATGGCGTCTGATCAGCAGCTTCTTCTTCTTTGGTTCCATTGAATTTGGTTTTTTGTTCAACATCATTTTCCTGTATCTTTCTCTGAGCTACAAAAAATTACAGCCTGATTATTTATCAGCAGTTTACTACAACGGCATGTCAGGGCCAATGTGGATAGAAAACAAAAGGGAGGCAGGGAACTTAGCCACAAAAATCTCAGAAATCCTTTAGAAAACGTAGGAATTTTGTCAAACATTTACTTGCTTTTTTTATTTCTGAGATTAATTAATTTTCCATAAATTTGCAAATTGTCAAATTCAGAAGTTTTCTTGTTTTTTTCTTGAAAATTTGTTTCAAATTTATGGGTTTTATCAATACATTCCGGCACAACCAGTGTTTTTAGGACATTTATGATCTCGATGTCCAAAATTAAAATTCAAGATAAGTGAAACTTATTGAGACGTAAATTATGATTTATTGAAAATAGAGAAAAGCCTGCAGTCGAGTCCTTAGCTGAGGTCAGCTATCGGTACTGCCGCATGCTGGAGGAAGACTGTTTCCGAGGAAGAACGGCTGATTTTGTTTTCATGTTCCTGTTCGGAGGAATCCTCATAACTGTATCCTTTACAAACAAGATGAGTGTAAATTTAAAGAACGCACAAAGAGGGTAAAATTTTAATACAAATAGGAAGAAAATGTTTAAAAATATATATATATATTTTATTTATTCATCAGCTGGAGTTGAAGCAAACAGCTTCTGATCTACAAAATAAAATGAGAAAACAAATAACAATAGCTAAAAAAAATACACAAAAATATGAGGTACACATTAAAATGATCATATTTAGGACTGTATTTAACAAAAAAAAACAATGTAAATTAGTTCAGCACAACTTTTCCTTTATCAGCCAATTCTAAACCTGAAATATGTACACTGACATTAAAAAGGGAATCAGTGCTATTTAGGACAGATGCATTTTTATCATCGTGGATTGATTATCGCAATAAATTATAGATATTTAATGTAGTTTTTATTTTTGCATTTTTTATCTCCTTGGATTTTGCTTTTCACTCTTTAAACCATTAATCGTCCCAGTTTCTGACATGCGGATCAAAGATTTGACTCATAGAACATAAAGCCATCAGAAACAGAAGACAACACTTCTGTTAGCATCACTTAGCATCCTGTCCTTCACAATCTGCGCAAAACCCTGAGTTTTTTTCTAAATGGTGTTTTTCTTTTCAAAATGTGAAATTGCACCTTTTTATGGTCAGTAGTTAAACGCAGCTGGCGTGGATCTGGCTAACCCAGACCACACTGAACTCTCTTAACCTCTGAACTTTGTTTGGTCTCCAGAGCAGAAAGTCACATCGAGTTTATGAAAGATGAGAGGAATCCCAAAGGATCCAATCAGTCTGACTTTAGATCCACTTCCCACAAAGTAATAAAAACACCAAACTGCAGATAGCAACAGGAAGATGGGATAAAAAATCACATAAAGAAGTAAAATACGTTGGAAAATCCTCATTTCGATTAACCCCGACTTTATTTAGCAGAATGTCTGTGAACATTAAACCGTCATAAATTAGATTTATCTGTATTTAACCTGAAAGTCTGCAGCTGCTGGGTCTGTTTGCCAACATCTTTGTCCTCGGCCAGGCCTTCATCACCATGCTGGTGTACGTCTGGAGTAAAAGAAACCCGCTCAGACGCATGAACTTCTTCAGCCTCCTCACATTCCGGGCGCCACTTCTGCCCTGGATGCTGATGGGATGTTCACTGCTGCTTGGGAACCCCGTCACTGCCGACGCCCTGGGTGAGAAGCCTTTACCCTCTGTGGCTTTTACGACATCATTATTAGGGCAATTGTAGACAGCAACCAACAAGAGCAGTACGTTTCTGCCAAAAAATTCTGAAATTTTGAGATTGATTTCAGAAATTTTCTAGAAAAATCTTGGGAATTTCAGAGTTTGAAAACTTTTTAGATTAATTTCTGAGAAATTATTGAAGAAAACAAGGAAAATTAAGAGTTCCAAAAGTCAACAATCTACGGGAATAAATAAAAAAAAAAAAATTTAGGATAAAAACTGAATATGTGCAAAAAAAAAAAAATCTGAAATTTTGAGCTTAATCACAGAAATCTTCTTGAAAAAGCTTTTGAAACTCAGAAGTTTCCAAATGTTTGTAGAATATGTTTGAGATGAATCTCAAATGTATGCAGAACAGAATTTGTGGCTTCAAGCGACAACAAACTTCAACGCTCTGTCCTCAGGTATCTGCGTTGGACACCTGTATTACTTCTTAGAGGACGTGTTTCCGAACCAGCCAGGAGGAAGAAAGCTGCTGACGACACCAGATCTGCTGTAAGAGTCGAAGTAAAGTAGACACCTTATTTGTTTTTACTTCTGGCTTCAAATAATCATTTTTCCTAAAAGAAAATGATCACTTTATGAAAAAAATACCAAAAAATTAACCTTTTATTTTATTTTAAACACTGCAACAAAGATCTGAACACCCTCTCCCTCTGATCTTTCTGCACAGGCGGGTCATGTTTGACCCACCTGAGGGACCTGATCACTGCTTCCTCCAGGAGGAGCAGCAGGAAGGAGGAGATCTGCAGCACAACGAGGAGCGATCAGAAAATCAATAAGACAGTCGAAAAGATAATCAATGGATCTGTTTCAGAAGATTTAAAAAGTTCAAACTGACTATATTCTCCTGCTACAAGGTCAAAACTTTCTCTGAACTTTTCCTACACATAGGAAAAATAGGAAAGGTAATAGTAACAGTCTCAGTTACAGCAGAGACCGAACAGAACCGGGTCTGTAACGACCAATCCATAGAACTTTCTGTTTAAATGTGATAGAAGCTGCAGAAGAAACGAGGAGCAACTGGAAGCTTTGCATGGAAACCGCGCGGCTTTGTCTGCACACGCTGCACTTTCACCCGCTGCCTTTGTGGCTCAGACAAAATGGAAACTGCTTAGCACAACAACACGACTCTGTGGGACAACGGCGGCAGGACCGGAGGTCAACGGCGGCAGGACCGGAGCCCAACCAGGACGGAGAGGAGTCTGGAAATGAAGGTCAACTGGGAAAGATCCCACTGGAACAAGTGGATCTGCTTTACAGCCATTGTACATTTAAAAAAGGAGAAAATGTCTGCCAGAGAATTTCTAGGAAAAAACTTGAAAATGTTTGAAAAGTACAAATTTCTTTTAGAAAAAATAAAATAAAATTTTAAGTTTAGATATTTTCCAAAGTAAAAAAAAAATCAGGAAAAAACTTAACACTTATTCGCAAGAAAAGATCTAAAATTCTCTAGAAAAAACTAGGGAGTTTGGACATTTTTTTTAGAAAAACTCAAGAAATTTCTGAGCTCCAACAGTTTAACATTTGCAAGAAAGAAGAAATTTTTGGGGGAAATTTCTGAAGAAATTTGCAACAAAACCCCCCCTCAAATTGTGAAATTATCTCCACATATTTTCTAAAGCAATGCTTGGAAATTTCTGATTCCATCCATTTTCTTACACACTTGCCCCTTGTAGACCCTTGAACAAAAGTCAAATATTTGCAAGAAAAAGTACAATTTTCTAGAATTTTAGCTTTAAACTTTTTAGTTTTGAAATGAGCTCCAAAAGTAAAACATTTTCAAGAAAATAAAGCATGAAATTTTGTAGAGAAAACTTGGAAATTTCAAGAGTCCGAAAAGTCAAAAATTTTAGAAGAAAACCTCACATTTTGAGACTAATTTCATGGATGTTCTAATTTTTTTTTTTTGAGCTCCAAAAGTTGAACATTTTCAACTTTCGGAAGTTTTCTGAGTTAAAAAACCCCCAAAACTTCTTCAAGCAATATATATATTTATAAATTTATTCCTGTTCTTAGTTTTTCCAATGTCCTGCTGGTGATCGAATTTCTGTATTCAGTTGTGTCAAGCAGTCCGTTAAGCTCGGTTCGATTCTGGACCAAAACTGTTCACTTTCTCACTGAACTGTCAAATGATCCAAACTAAATGAAAACCTGTTCCCCTCCTCGCCTGCAGGGGCGCTGGACTAACAACCACTGAAGGAAATGCCACAAAAACCTCAGAAGAGTGCAAACTTCTCCATGGCTTTACTACAACTTTTTTGTGTGTCTATTTTAATACATTTCTTTCATGTCCATTAAAATTTTCCCTGCAGGAATTAAAGCCCAAAAAAGGACGACAAAATATCTTACTGATTTTTTTATTATTTTGTAAGAATTATTAAAATGTACAAAAGACAACAAATACAACAAACCAATATATTATCTGAGTCAGATTTGTTTTTGTCTCTCTTGCTGGTCAGGTAGAAGGTCAAAGGTCAAAAAGAGCAGCTTTTCCAGGAAGAAGGGTTCGGCGCAGGGGAAACATGAAGGTTTCTGGGTTGTTTTTGTTTTTTATTTTTCCTCTAATGAGTCTTCAACAGATTCAAATTAAAAATGAAACGGCGAAGAGTCCAGCCCAGCAGAGGACACATCCAGAGAGGAGGAAAAACCTCTGCTGCCCTTCAACTGGTCCTGCCTCAATGTTTCTGCAGGGGGCGCTGCTGCTGCGTTCACATCTACCACGTATTCGCCAGACGCCTCATTCGTCTGGGGGACAAACGGGACGCAGGTGTTAATAGTTGCATTAAAAAAAAAAACAAAAGAACAACAGGAGGAAATGTTTTTAATAAACAAACTAATAGAAAACAGCCAAAATATTGAATTCCTTTAACTCAAGACTAAATATTCACTTGTTTAAAGTTGCTTTTAAATGAGAAATTTACCAATTTATTTGATCTAAAAAATAATCAACAGATCAGCCCGCCACTGTATTGATAAGACATGCAAAAAGTTTTTCACATGTTGATGTTAAAAGTTTTTTTTTCTGTATTGTTCATATTGTGCAATAAAGGAATGCTACGTTTTAGCATTTTTCTCTTATTTAATAAATTAATTCTTGTGTTTATTGGCATTTTTTTTATACTGTATAAAAAAGGCTTGAATGAAAACTGCATAAAAACTGCCAGACTCACCTCGTGTTTCTGTCCTGGTCTCTGATCTTCTTCTCCATCTCTGCGTCTGTCAGAGTCTCCAGCAGGGGGCACCACTGGTCCGCCTCGCCTGTGTTTCTGATGGCGATCTCCACCGTAGGAAGTGGGTTCTCACTGAAAAACAACAAACCGCTTCCTGGTTAAATCTACGACGTGTTCTGTTTAATTATATACAAGAAACAAACAAGCGACATGAAAGGGAGGCTGAGAGATTAATTGTTTAAATAATACAGACAAGCTTTTTCCTACTTGGGTTTTCATAACTCATTTTGTGTTTTTGCTTTTTTTGCTTGCATCTTGTTCTGCTCGTGTCGTAATGACAACAAATCGTCCATCAGCATTAAAGTCTGGAGTCGTTTCTCCACTGACGCGTCCAGCTCTGGCAGGGATCACTGTCTGGGTTTGGGAACATTTCATCATCCGATCCCAGACCAAGACCCAGTAAGATCAGATCTGCTGATCCAACCAGCAGTTAAGGTGAAGGAGGTCAAGGGCCGCTAGAAAAATATAGAACACCCTTCAAATTTAGTAGAACTTTTCAAGAGAGCCACTGGAAAAGATTACAGTAGGAGCTTTATTCAGCCAGCTGACCAGGAGTGTGCAGTTAATCGTTAGCATTATGCGCTTCAAGTCACAGAACAAAATGATAATAAATTTACACAATGCCATCACAGACACAAAAAGCTAGTTAGCTAGTGTGATTTAGCATTGAATCACACTCAGACATAAAAAGAGTAAAAAATCCTTGGTACTGATAAAAAGCACTAGTAAATTTTTTATTTTTTTTATTAAAAAATGAATGGAATTATTTACATCTTTTAATGCATTTCTAATATTGCATAAAAAAATCAAAGTAATTAAATAAAAAATCTGCAGAATTTTTTTATGAAATAAAGTGATTGATTATTAAAAAAGCTGCAGCCCTGCTGAGGCGCCATCTTGTGGTACCTGAAGGCGTACGTCCTCTGGTGCCAGCTCAGCTGACCTCGGATGCTGTATGCGATGGTGGTGACGAACTCTCCGCCCAGGCCGAGCTCTGAGCAGAGCTTCAGGGCAAACTTCTCCGGAGAGTTTTCCCTCTCCGACATGTCCCACTCAAACTGGTCCACCAGCGAAATGTTCCCCACGTGGATGTTCAGCTGGACGACGAGAAGAAGAACGTGAAAAATTAGCCACCTGCACTAAAAGTTACCTATTGTGCTTCCTTGAACAGAATAGGACAGGAATATGAGCTAAACAAAACATTCTTTAAATTTTTTTGCACAAATTCAATCTTAAATAATGAGTCTGGTCAGTTTTACCTAGTTGGATGTCCTTTCAGAATGAGCTGTTAAAGGGCTCTGTCACTTTAAATCCACGCCCTCCAACTGAATCAATTTATCAATTTCCGCATTATAAATTAAAATGAGATTTGTTGTATGCAATTTTATTTCTGTCCATACTTTTTTAGGCTTATTTTTGGATATTTAAACTATCTTACAATTCCATGTTTTAGTGTCTGTTACAAAATTACATTTTATTCATCTTTGAGAGGGAAACTTATCTGAAAATGGTCTCAAAATGGCAATATCAACATTTAGCTCTGCTTGATTACTGTGTAACAGATGAAACTCTGCTGGGTTGCGAGGTAATGGGCAGTGTCTGCTTATTTGTGAAGTTTTTGAAATGGCTTGTTTTCCAGTCACCAAAAATCTTTAATTTATTGCCAACAACCAACTGGGTGTTTTTTGGGTTTTTTTTTTAAGTGTTTGGGTTGTTTTTAGGAATGAAAGCACCTTGATGATCACCCTCTGGTCCGTCTGGTCCTCCAGGAGGCTGTCTGTCGGGTAGGACTCGATCTGCTGCCGGATGGCTGAGGCGATGGCCGGGACGAAGGCCAGAGGGTTCAGATCCAAGTCGTCACATAGGATCTCCGCAAACATCTCAGGTGTCATGAGCTTCTCTGGACATTTAAAAAAAAAAAAACAGGAACCCTCCGTAAGTGTTTGTCTTAAATCTCATCAGAAAGGGAGATGAGTGAGGAGCTACCGTTCATGTTCCAGGTGAAAGCGTCTCTCAGTTTCTGACCCTCGATCTCCATGTCGAGACGGATCGGAACAAGAACCTCAGGCTGTGTGGCGTTTTCATGGATCACCGCTGGGTCGTGGTCATCGAAGCTGATGAACGTTTAAAGATGCAAAAAAATTAACCTATAAAATTTACTGGATAATTAATTCTCCCAAAAAAAAACACACTAAAAACTCAAACTAGAAGTTAGTTTAAATGTCCTAAACAAAACCAAAAACAGGCAAATGTGGCAGGTGGTCCAAACTAGGTACTTTCTACTTGGGGTCAAATGTTTGCGTTTCTCAAAATGGCGGCTTTTAAATGCAATATTATGGTAGTGACATAAATAATGCAACAACCCATTGTCAAACAGTCATAACCAGTGGTAATAATCGCCCAAACAAGCAAAGCCTCAACCATAAAAAAAAAAAACATGAACAAAAGAGACACCATCTGCCAGCAGGGGGCGCCTCACCACAGGGGGAAGGTCCTCTTCTTGTCCCGGCCCAGCCGGCTGCGGTTGATGGTGGTGGAGCAG